AGGAAAAAAAGGAAAAAAAAAGGAAAAAAAAAAAAAAAAAAAAAAAAAAAAAAAAAAAAAAAAAAAAAAAAAAAAAAAAAAAAAAAAAAAAAAAAAAAAAAAAAAAAAAAAAAAAAAAAGAAAGAAAAAAGGCCACAAGTTCAATACCACCATTAACCAATTTCAAATATATTCAACCACAAATTGTCATGCAAAGCACCAATAAGCAGCCTCTAAAGTCACAAACAACCAAGATTGTGTGTGTGTGTGTTACCGTTTTACTTTAGTGTTTGGTGCATACAAATGTATTAAACTTAATTGTGTGATTTGAAAAATCAATTCTAAATGCTGGGGTTACAAAATTACATTATCCCTTACAAAATAGTTGAGATTCCATATTTAATAATTCCCGATCTTTCTGCAAACTATTTTTTTTTTTTTTTTTTAATGAACCAAATTGTTTTAAAGAAAACCAGAAGTAAACGCAACTCAGCAGCATAAAAGTTGCCATGAAACCAGGCATGTGCTCTTCACTTGGAAGAATCACAACACAACAGAATCTTTCTATTTGTACATGTAGCCAATCTAAATTAGAGAAGAAATATTGGAGCTCCAATATTGATTATGGTTTCAAACTAAAAATTGCGCTTGTGCTACAAGTTTACATAAAAAAACTGAGCACCATAATTACAAGTCCTGTAATGCATTAGTCATAAGGGCACAGTTGCAGCAGAAGTGGTGTGTCTTGGGTAAGATAGCCTGACAGAGTCCAACCCAACTTTAGGCTGGGTTTGAATTCAGAGTTTTCTTTCTCTTACACTGTATGCTAACCAAGGCTATAGAATCTAGTCTGTCCTGCTATTAACCCATAGCTGGAGGGAGAAGAGATGGATTCATACCTTTCCCAAGGATATTAGCAATGTAATGAATCTGAATGGAATTGAAACTAGACTCTCGATACCACAATCCACCATGCCTCCTAAAAATAGGCTGAGCATTATCTTACAAAGCAATTATCAAAACAGGAATGGTTTTGAAATTCTTTTCTGATTAACTTCAATTGTTTATTACCAAGTTTCTTTATGTAAAACAATCTTAAAGAAATGATAGATACAGTGAAAATTGTTTTTAAGTGATTTTAAATTTAAAAGATTTTTGGTCTGAGAAAATATCTTGCACTTGTTTTTAGCAAGAAACGAGAATTATAATTTCATAAAACAAAAAAATGCTATAGCTAACTCTAAATATATATATGGTTTCATTTCTTTAGCCTCTCAGCTTCACATAATCCAATGACTAAATTCTTAGAAACTTTTGCAAAACCCTTAAAACATGCAAATATTTCCAAACAGCTTAGCCAGAGGCATGCATTTGTTTTCAAATGAATCTAATAATACCAAAAAAGAATATACAGTATGGAATGAATTGATTCGTTTTCTATGGCTTATCAACCTTTGCAGGTTATTTAAAGCCAGAAAATATTTTTAGATTCTAAGGATATTTTTTTTTTATTTTAGAGTTAAAAATGATTTAAATGATACAAGTCTTACTAATTAACCAATAGTTGGTGGTAGAAGAGGTGGACTTATACCGAATCAGAATTTGACAAACAAGAAATTATGTGGATATAAATTGAGGATCAATTTCATATTACACTCGATAAATAAACTGATCCCTCACTTTGTAGCCACGGTAGTTTCTATACATTTATATACCAGAGAATGTAAATGAATCTAAGACTTGTCTGTTTAGCAAATCATTAATTCATTCATTCATTTTCTGTAGCTTAACCCTTTGCAGGTTATTTAAAGCCAGAAAATATTTTTAGATTCTAAGATTTTTTTTTTTGTGGAGGTAATGATTTAGTGATACAAGTTTTACTAATTAATTAACACATAGCTGTGAGGAGGAGATATGGATTCATACCTTTCCCAGGAGTATTTGTACTTAAGTGAATATAATGAACTCAACAGGTTGTGGAACTTGGTCATCTGATTCTCAATTCCAAGTCATTATCAATTTCATCTACCTACACATCCACCTGGTGTTTTCAAGCAGTCATCCAACAAGGTAGTGACCAGGTTCAACACTGCTTAACTTTGGTCATCGCATGGGAACTGACATTTCAACATGATGTGGCTGTAAGCCTGTTACGGAATGAATCCAAGCAATGTGGCCATTTCCATGCAGGTAACTGTGGTGTGCTCTGAAAAGAACAATGCTATTTTTTTTTTTTTTTTAATAACCTTTCAATGCTGAATGATTGAATTCTGATCCTCTGATGATAATCAGGCAGAGATTCATGAACAAATGCAGAGGCTTTGATTTTTGTTTTTCTAGATTTGATCAAGGGAATCAACATGTGAACACAGTAGATGGCAAATCACATTTCATTAGAATTCATATTTAACATGAGAGGTCAAGGTCTCTTTTGTCCAAATACATCAAGTTATCCAGAGATTTAACTTTGGACAACTTAATAGAAATGATCAATATATTTTGACATCAGCTACAATCAAACTGATTTCTTAAATTGGACACCAAGCAGAAAATTTTGAATTAGCAACAGTCAATATCCTTTCATTTGCAACCATCTAATTAATGCTTTGAATTAGAAGTTTGTACCCACTCAAATGGGAGTTGTTTAGCTGTAAAAATTTTCCATCTGAAGTTTTAGGAAGCTATCTAAAGCTAAAGTACTACTACATATATTAGATAGTAATCAATAATAATAATAAAAAGCAAAAAAATGGATAAGGTGTGAAATGGAGATACAGCTTTCCCATGTGATGAATGTGTTTGATGCTTATTCATGAACAGACATTTGTTCCTGAAACCAGTATAAATATCTACACATCAACTACTTGGGCATTACCAACACATTTACATCAATTCATTATACAATACTTAAGCAATACAAAAAAAAAAAAAAAAAAAAAAAAACACTACACAATTCAACCATTTGTTATAGAAAACATTTATTCAATTTAAATACCCACCATTGGATTAATTCAGTCTTGGGCTAACACCAATTTAAACAGATTCAATTGGAAATTAATATTATCATTTAGTTGTTTTTTTTTATACAGCCTTTCGGGGAAATTAGAAAATTGCAGATTGATCATCAGGATCAAATGTTGATCATTTTTTAAAATAATTAATCTATCCTTTATTGGTAAATTATAAATTATTACAAACTAAAACCAAGCATTTATTCAGGAAGGACTTCATTTATCTGGTGACCTGTAATGACATTCAACATAATAATTCTATATCTCCTGAGGTTGGGAGGTGTGTTATGTGAGGTAGAGGTGAGAGGTCATGAAACTAATCTCCCCAGTCTGTTTTTCAGCTTCAGATGCTGCATGAGTTCAGTCATCATTCTCCAATGTTCAGGTCATTTTTTAAGATGGTAATGAGGACAATCCCAACAACTCACTTTTATATACTTTATTGTACTTTATTACAACTTCCACCCCACCCGCTTAAACTTTCTTAATAAAGTCAATGTATAAAAACAATACTCTTTCATTAAAATTGCACTTGAGGACGACTGTCTTCTTTCTCCTCCTACTCCATTATTATCTAACATGGACTAATATAAAGGTTATTTTTACATATAAATTTTTTACATAAATGCTTACTTGATATAGACACAGGTGTTTTAATGACTCATAGATAAATTGCTAAAATTTAAATAAAAACAACATTTAAAATAAAATTTAGGGAGATTGAAGTATTGCCAACAAAAATGCAAAAGAAATTTTTTTTTAAATTATTTAAATTCTGAAATTATTTCCAATATCAATATTTTGTCTATTCATCTTGTTCCTTTTTATCACAACTTTCTCAGTTAAATATCTTTTGACTTAAAAAGTTGCAATATGATGATATCAATATATACCCCTATCTAGTCATAAGAAACTGTGGCTGAACTGGGCAAGGCAATGTCCATAAAAGTAACTGTTGCAATATTGGAAAAGATTCCAAACTTGATTAGAACCTACTTCTTCACTTTTCATATTAATGGCCAGAAAGTATTCTGCCTATAAAATTAGGATTAAATAAGCAGTAACAAAAAGAAAAATCTAAAACATTGAAAAACTTGAAAAGCTTTGAAACAGTTTTAATAATATCTGTAACTGGAGTTGAAAAACAGTTTTATAAATACAACCAATAACTAAAGAATATATCAAAATATTACATCAACTTGTAATCAGATTATTCTTTAAGGCATGGTTAAAAACAGTGCTTTGTTCAAAATTCAATCTTTTGACCTGTCAATAATAGTCAAAAAGAGTATCTCAATGTTAGAAAATGTTTAATGAGCTTGTCTATCAAATCATTATTACTGTGTAGCAGGTTCAATTCTAACTGGATACCCAGCAATATTTAACTTTTGGCCTGTGGGAAGGGGTGGTGCCAAAAGCATTGTTGTTTTTTCTCTTGATACACCTATGACAATGTTTATTGATTTCAAGTTACACACTATTTAGTTATTAGATTGTTTATTTACAAGATTCGTTTTGTATATAAAGGATTATAAAAATACATGAACTACAATGCAATATTTATTATTTTATAAAAGAAATAAATATGAAAACTATTTTTTTTCTTCATGAAAATTTAGAAAATGTTAAAAATGTGAAGCAACTATAATGAAATATTATTTCCCATTTTATGCATAAATATGAAAAAAGATTTTTCTTTCATAAATTTATGAAAATGTCTGAACAAGAAAATTGAAATAAACACAAGTAACTGTAATTATAAATTTTGAAAGTGGTTATTTTCCAGGCATTTTCTTCATTTACTCTTACCAGATAAATTCACTAAAATAGATTGAGAGCATCTCTTCTTCTAAAGCAAACATTCTTTTAATTTTAGATAAGACCACAAACACTCCAATATTTTGAGAGTGTTATTTTTGCTATTCATTAGGCAGACTAGGTTTTCCTTGTGTATAGTTACAAAAGGCTTAATCTTTAACAGGTATTTCTATAATTTAAGCATCCTTGATACTAGATTGTAATTATTAAAGAGAAAAAGGTGAGAGAGAAAAAGAGAAAAAGAGAAAAAGGTGAGAGAGAAAAAGAGAAAAAGGTGAGAGAGAAAAAGAGAAAAAGGTGAGAGAGAAAAAGAGAAAAAGGTGAGAGAGAAAAAGAGAAAAAGGTGAGAGAGAAAAAGAGAAAAGAGGAGAGAGAGAAAGAGAAAAGAGAGGGAGAGGAGAGGGAGAGGGAAAAAGAGAAGGGAGGGAGAGAGAGAGGGAGGGAGGGAGGAGAGAGAGAGGGAGGGAAAGGGAAAAGGAGAGAGAGAGGGAGGGAGAGAGAGAGGGAGGGAGGAGAGAGGAGGGAGAGAGAGGGAGAGAGAGAGAGGGAGAGGGAGAGAGAGAGGGAGGGAGAGAGAGAGGGAGGAGAGAGAGAGGGAGGAGAGAGGAGAGAGAGAGAGGAGGGGGAGGGAGAGAGAGAGGGAGGGAGAGGGAGGGAGGGAGAGAGGAGGGGAGGGAGGGAGGGGGGGAGAGAGGGGAGAGAGAGAGGGAGGAGGGAGAGAGAGGGGGAGAGGAGAGAGAGAGAGAGGGGAGTGAGGGAGAGAGAGGGAGAGAGGGGAGAGAGGGAGAGAGGGGGAGGGGAGAGAGAGGGGAGGGAGGAGAGAGGGAGGGAGAGAGGGGGAGGAGAGAGAGAGAGGAGGGAGAGAGAGGAGGGAGGGAGAGAGAGAGAGGGATTTAAAATGAAGTAATCTGATATAAAATAATCCAAGAAGAAAATGCATAATGTGTAAAAAAAAATGATGTATATTTAAATTTTCTTGTTTCATAGTTCAGACATTTCTAATAAAAAAAAAATCTTGTACCATTAATCTAGTAAAACTATCTGCAAGTGTGTAAGATTTTTGTTCTTAATAAAATTCTCAATATAGCTTTTTAGAACAATAAACATTGGATTCAAGGGATTCAAAAGGACTATACAGTAATAGTGGTGTCAACAGAAAATCTGTCCGTTTGAAACCCTGTCTTTTTTAATCTTGTAGAACAATCCATCTACTAAATAGTGTGTAACATTTTATGACCATAAGTCATATAATACTAAAATGAATACCTATACAAAATAGACAAAATGTTAGCACAAAATTAACAAAGATTATCCTAATAGTTATTCAGCCCTTTCAAAATGAATAACCTTCCTTGAAATGGCACACCATGTCAATTATTGAAAAAAGTGACAAGCCAGAAATGTCATGCATAAGCAAAAAAAACATTTGTGAATAAAAGGAAGATAACACCCAAAGATGATAATATGGTTATTTGAAAGCATTGAGATGGATGTAAATTTTAAAAATTTTTTTTAAAAATCTTAATTCTTTTTAAATTTTTTATTTTAAAGAAAAAGGAAAGCACAATTTTTAATATCCCTCCACTACAAAAAAAAAAAAAAAAAAAAAAAAAAACAGAAATGAAATCAAGCAAAAGACATTTTAATAATCTAATTTAGAAATAAATCAATAAAAATAATAAAATCATCTTGAAGTTAATTTTTGTATTTTTTTTAAATAATAAAAAGAGAAGAGAAAAAAAATATTAAAAAAAAAAAAAAAAAAAAAAAAAATTAAAAATTAGAAAAACAGAAACCAAGAAAGAAAACTTGACTTGTGATAGTTCCAAAGATTTGAATATTGGCAGTGGGTTTACTTACCGATTGTGATCTGGGCCTATCATAGAATACTTATAATCAGCCTGTATTTTATTTTGTTGCAGAAACTGATGTAGTCTGCTTTTAGCATTTTCCAATGTCCAGTTACCATGAATACCAGCATTTAAATCAAGATCTTCTGACTGAAAGGGAGAGAAATATTTAATTAGAAAGAGATAAACAAAGAGAGCGAGAGCTAGAGAGGCAGAGAGGAAGAGAGGCAGAGAGGAAGAGAGAAAAGAGAGAACAAAATGATAGAAAAATGATTTTTATTGATCAGTATTAACAAACCACTAAGTATGAATTAATTTCTTTTTGTACAAGAGTCAACTTGAATTATTCTAACATAGAAAAACAGTAACAGATCAAAATACAATGTATGATGGAATGAAATCTGGGAAGTTTTATAGGCAAAAAGTTTGAATATACAAGCAAGAAGAGAATCCCCCAAGAGATTATGAGCTTTGGATATAAAGTTAGATTTTCTTAAGTGCATTGGGTCAAGAACTTTTCAGCATCTGCTTGCATATTTTGGAACATAATTCAATCCCACCCCATACACTAAGATAAACTTTTAAAACATCACACTGCTTTTCCTATGATAACAGTTTTGTATTCTCTACAAAGTCCATCTTTTATTCAGACACATTTTAGAAGCCAACCAGCAAGAGATATCAAGAGTACAGACAAGGACTTCTACCATAAAAAGAAGCATTTGCTAACCATACATAAGTGGTATAAGTCCAGTCAAGCAAAAACTGTCATCTACACAGATTAGACATTTATGATAGGACTTCACAACAGAGAACGATGTATAAAACTTACCATGTTGATAGAAATAAAGAAAATTAAAATGTTTCAAAAATGAAAAAAATGTTCATGACCCATTCAAGAATCAGAAACATTTTCTAATTTTTGTTGTACACAAATAAAAATAGGAATCAGTGTTTGAATTGATTATTTTTCAAAGCCACAATATTAGACCTTTAGCATTCAACACATTCAAACCCGACCTGTAAATATCAGCCCTCAAGGCATGAGTGGGTCATGCAAACAGTCAGACTTTGAGTGACATTATTCCTGCATTTTTTTTTTGTGATGATGTCATTATATATTATGCCTAAATTTGCTTCCTGCTCTTAGATTTTGACAAAAAAAAGATAGAGTGAAATTGCATAGATAAACTAAATGGTTCCCTCCATGGAATGGGATGCTGAGGTTTGCAATTGTATGGGCAAAATAATGCTAACTGGTCAAAGGCGATCTTGTTGATGACATGACACAAACAGCAAGAGAGAGAGATTTTGTGACCAATTTAATCATTAACCAAAAAAACACAGAATGGGGATTTAATGAATGAAATTTGGAAAAATTTTGGAAATGATAGATTCAGAGTTTTGAAACTTAATCAGTATAAGCAGGTTGATTTGGGCTTTTCAACAGTCATGTTCTGGTTGGTAGAGAAGACACAAGTTGACGTCACCATCTGAGGTGAATTATTCACCCAAAGATTTTATCAACAAAAGAAATTATCTATTTTGATATCAAGAAAGTATTGAAGGCCAAGTTTTTTTTTTTTTTTTTTTATGGGTCCAAAATGTTTCAACCACCTTTATGTAACACTTCTCCAGGTCAAAACTTGAATACAGCATGGATGAGAATGATAAGCTAGCAAGATGAGGTCCCCAACAATGGGTGACGGGGTTGAGTGAGCAGGAGTGTTACCTATCTAATCAGTAAGACAATATATTTAGTGGAGACAAAGGAGACGATACATTCTAAATTTGACTCTCTTTATTCATAGATGCAGGAAAGGGGGGGGGATCCTTTTTATTAAATTTCAAACTTTTTTTTTTTTTTTTTTGTTACATGAATGAATAAGCAGCTTCCAGTGAGATTGGAACACATATCTTGTCAAGGACATTTTGCTTCTGTTCACATGACGTGCCTCGTGCTTAATCAGAATATAAGAAATTAACTACTGAGCATTACAATAAAATCAGGTGAAATAAGATGAAAGGAAGTTTAAAAAAAAAAAAAAAAAAAAAAAAGGAAAAAAATAATAATGATGACAATGCTTTGTTTTGGATACCCATTTTAATTCAGGTTTTAAAGTACTATTTAGATACAGAGACTTAACTTACCTCTTCCAGTTTCCGCTTTTCAGCCAGACGATCCAAATAGCTCATTGGCGGACCTCTTTGATAAGCAGGTATGTCTCGATTGGCATCAAGACCAGGGAAACCTTAAAAGAAATTAGAAAGAGAAGATTCAAGCAATTGAATTCAGTTTGTCATTTTTGCAATACATTGGCATTATTATGAAGGAATCGGTGTATTATTTCAAATTAGGTGATTAAACGACATTCATAATCTATCAAAAGATTCCAATCATTTAACCTCAAGCAAGGCAATAAAGCCACTAGAATACAAGAGGTTATTGAATGTGAGAGAATATAAGAAAAACTACTATTAAGTAGAACAAGAATTAAGACAGAAGATTGACATTGCATTAAAATTTTTGAAGATCAAAGTTGACTGGAATACAAGAATCCAGAAGTGTTCCACAAGCAAGAAGTGTGAGAAAAGAAACCGTTAGCATAGAACTTACTGTTACATCTAGCCATTTCAACTGTAAAATGATGATACCTTGCCGCCAGTCTAACACTGTGCTTAAATTTATAAAGTCTAGGTATCATAGAGGAAAGTTCATCAGAACAATTACCATGAAATTATTTATGAAAAAGTGAAGCTACATGATGGCAGGGGAAAGTTGTCATTTAAGTCGTACAATGTTAAAAAAAAAAAAAAAAAAAATCTAATATTTCAAATATTGGGTTCACTCACTTTTTGTTGTTAAATGACATGAAGTGCATAAGGTACTGTGAATGATCAAATACGTCAAAAGTGGTTTGCAAAATTTTTGTGCTAGGAATTTCTTGCTGGTAGACCAGCTGAGGTCAATAGTGATCAATTAAAGACATTTATAAGAAAAAAAAAATTGTGATGACAAATTGATTCTTAACAAAATGGAATGCAAATGATTGTAGAGCAAGTGACATGAACCAATCAATAATCATATTGAAGGTTGATAATCATCCAAAGAATGTGATGTAGGATACATAGTGTGACTGGAAGGGAGTCTGCTGGCACCCATAGAATATTTGCAAAATGTATACAAGAAGAAGAAGAAGAAGAAGAAGAAGAAGAAAAAAAAAAAAGTACTTACTACCGCTCGAAGAGATGCCACTGTCTCCCATATCATCTCCTGACACTTCACTACTTGACATACTCTCTGCCGTCCCAGCACCCATTCCAACAGTCAGCTAGAGAGAGAGAGAGAGAGAGAGAGAGTGAATATTAACAAGAACAATAAATTCTTCAAATAAATAAAAATCACAATTCAGACCAAGACACCCCCCCCCCAATTTGTAAATCTTTATAAATAAATCTTATCTCCCCACCACATATCCTTATAAACTGCACTTCTTACCACTCATATAACTAACTTCAGTGACCATCTACTTTGAGTGGTCCCTGGGCCTTGTATAAGGTAAACATTAGCACACACAAAAAAAAAAAAAAAAAAAAAAGTAATTTATCCTTCAAGTCATGATTCACTGGTAAACAAGCTTCTCATGTGAAATTTACAGTCATCTTTAATACAAATTATTCAAACTAATATCTTTATTGTTGTTGCTTTTATCACTACATTTCAGTCTGTGTATTGCTTGGCTTTCCTTAAATGGATACTGCCACCATTTGAAATGGTTTCAAGATTTGCTTAGCAGCAGAAGAGAGGCAAAGCCACGTGTCAATCAGAGAAAACTCAGTTTATCTAAACAGGCCAACGTGTAAGCAAAGTTGTTTCATTTTTTGTTTTTTTTTTTTTTAAATATATGCACAAAATATAATCACTGTTTTTCAGGTACAGAGGTTCTTAGAATTTTTACTTCATTCTCTAATATAATCTCCATTTTTAATGTTTTTGCAACTGAATGCCAACCTCATAAACAATCATGATGACATTTTCTATAGATAATTGTCAATATTTTATAATACTGACAAGAAAAGCTAACAGATTTTTTCAAACTGATGACTGAATTTCTTTTATCTGGATTTGTACTTAACATTAAAATTAATACATTTAAAAAATAAAATAAAAATAATAGAGGCTTGGGATCAGAGGTGTCATTCATTAGCTGAACTGTAATAATAAAATACAGTTGGGACAAGAATTTCAGTTTTAACAATTTAAGAATTTCAAACATCACATCTTGTTTCAGAAACAACAACTGAATTCAAGCAGGAATTAAGCATTGTTTTACTTTTTTTAATTGTTTAAAAATCCATAATTATTGTCTGAAGTTCTACAGTAAAATATCTTTTTAGACTCACATACTTATCTTTATTATTTCATAAACAATATCATGGTAAGTCAATTGTCCAACTTTCTTTAGAGAAGTACATTCTTTCATGATATTCTTAAAGAACAGACTTATTAAAAAAAAGAAAAGAAAAAGATTACAGGGAAAAAAAAACAAAAGAAAAAACACCTATCACATAATATTCCTTCTTTATTATTTCAACGCCTGTTCATACACCTGTCTCAAATAGGTTAAAAAGAAATTCTCTACATAATTCACATGTCTGAATCAGGTGTGATCATTAGCCAGGCTTGATTACTTAACTAAAATAATGATTGCCTTTCAACACCCATTTCTTGTCATTTCCTTTTTGTCTTTCTTACTACTAATCCCCTCCCTTCAATCCACCCTCACTCTTTGTCACATCCCTGCTTCCTTGATGCTAATTTCTCATATTCCTTTTCTAACACTCGGATATTATTCAGATCACTACTGACACCACCGCCATTACTACTCAGTTCCAAACTGCCAATAGTTGAAGATCAAGAAAAAGAATCCAATATCCACAGGATATTTGATCGATTTTATATATATATATATATATATATATATATATATATATAAAGAGAGAAATGAGTAAAGAAATAAAGAACAAAAACTAAGTTTAAAATTTTCATCACTATTTCATGCTCGTCCTTATTAAATTATGATCTGGCTTTCAGTTTAGGTAGAGAGAGACAAAAGAAATTCTAACCAACACATAACTCCTACTGCACAAACCCTACAGACAAAATTAAGCACAATTTTTTTTTGTTCTTTAATATTCCAATGATTGTAGAGAAATGATTGTCAGAAAATGTAGGCAAGGAAGATAATTTACAAATTTTAAACACTTCAAGATTATAAGCAAACAGCTACACCACGTTAGCAAAAATGACAGGAGCCTTCTATTATGGTTTAATTGGTGTTTACAATTCTAAGCTACATGTGGAAGAGGTAAGGAAAATTGTGTTAATATCAATCTTCCAAGAGGAAAGAAGCTGCCTCCCTTGAAAATCAGTATTTGTTCAAACTCCTTGTATTTTTATATGAGCTCAAAATCTCTAGCTATCTTAGGCTAAGAATTCGATTCTGCGATGGCTGAATCTTTACACAAAGAAACTAAGTGAAGAAGAAAAAAAACTAACTCCACTTGAAAACTGTACCCACAATTGGTTAATAGTGAAAACATTTCAATAGCACATTTCAAGTGAACATAACAGCAGGTGTAGAGGGACCATTTTTCCATTTCAAAGTTTCCTTAATTCCATTTCAGGTTTTAGGGAAATCCGTTTGTTTTTCGTTTACTCCGCTATATTTTATCTAAAAAAAAAAAAAAAATGCATCAAACAAACTCTAAAGCAGGTAAAATGTATATTCTTATGAATTAGTTAAGTTTAAGGTTTTTGATTAAAGAAATAAAAAAAAAAAAAAGTCTCAATAGATTCTTTTGCAATGGGATGAACAAAGAGGATGGGTGTTTATGTATACACACACACACACATATATATATATATATATGTGTGCACACCTCAAACCCAGCATATGTATGCTCTTTTATGTTAGTGTATTGGTTGGTTGGTTGAAGACAATTTAGTGACCTGCTCAGTATATTTAGGCTAGCAGTTAATTTAGTAAAAAGCAAAGTATTGATCTTTGTGCTTGCAGCAAAGAAGGACATATGGATAGAGAGTAATCACTTTTCAATCAGTAACTGATTTTGCAAACAGAAAAACAATGCAACAATTTAAAGAAAAAAAAAAACAAGTTATCAAAAGAAATCCAATCACATTATAACTAATATATATATATATATATATATATATATATATATATATATATATATATATATAACAATATGTTTTATATTTTATATATCAAGAACAGTATTGAGGAAATTGTATGACAAAGTAGAAAAGTTACTTGTGACGCATTTCATCATCCTTCAGGATACCATTGGACTAAATTTGTTATGTTGATAGGACAACACATGCGCACAACAGAGGGATGCTGAGAATTTTAGATTTTTTTCTTTTTTTTTTGTAAATCAGCCAAATTCATTTAGAGTAGGTATTCCACATTGTGATACCAGATCTGCCAGGAATGGTGAAACGTTATTAAGAGCCAGGGTGCAAATTTACTGTAGATGACCTTGTGATTAAGGCCTTCATTATTTTTATATATATATATATATATATATATATATATATATATAATAAAAAAGGCTTAAACACTAATATTCCATGGTCATAATTTATTCCATTGGAATCGTAAATACTTCCAGTTCTAATATTATCAATATATATATATATATATATATATATGATTGAATTGTAGGTGGCACATAATCCCTTTACCAAAAGAATATCATTCCCCATAAAATAAAATCAATATTGTTTTATTGTAACTGATTTAACAAGAATAAATAAATGCTTTATAGAAGCTGATTGACATTTCACACATATTAGCAAATATCAATCAAGATTAAATATCACTGAATCTGGCACGAGTCAGCAACTGTAAAGCCCCAAGTATTATAAGCTTGTTAACATAAAGCTTCTATAAACTATGAAGTCAGTCAAATGTGTGTGCTGAAAAAAAAATCTAGGCTACAAGGAATTTGGCTTCTTAAGACAATGTTTTTGATTTAAAGGCCGAGTCAGAAAATACTGTGAAAGATTGTTTCTTTTAACCATAAATTTCAAAGTTACAAACGTAATCAGTAATTCCTTTTAGGAAAAACTGCCTGAAGCCATTTCAAAAGATTTGGAAATATTTAAAGTGAACCTCTTTCATGAGAAATCAAAATTTGAGAGAAATGTAGTCGAAGTTTCTGAAACAAGTCATAAAAAGATTACTATCTTTTTTCTTTTTTATTCTTTTAATTCAGAAAATGTAACAGCAATTCGTGTTGTAGTAAGAAAGAGTGGCATGAAAAAGTGGGAGAAAAGAAAAGAAATGATACAATAAATATTCCATCCAGTACACTTTCTTCTTTTAAATTGAAAAAAAAATTACAAGAAGCCACTGAGAGATTCCCATGACTTGAATCAAGGTCAAGAGTATGTCTTGTAAAGTGGCAGCCAGATAACTTTACATGACAGCCATTGATGACATTGGTAATCTTACAATTGTATTGTTATTTTGCCAGCAAATCAACCCTTGCAATGGTCACCCCCGAAAGGTGTTGAAAATATTTGTGAGGATGATCAACATGAACTCCCACCCATATCCATTAGGATTAACTAAAGAAAAATAGGGAACACAGTTTTTGTGTGTGTGTGTGTGTGTGTGTGTGTGTATGTATGTATGAATGAATGAGCAAAGTGGAAAAGCTTATAAATGATGAGTTTTGCCAATATGACATGTTGGAATGAAAGACAAAATGTGTGCAAAGAAAATGTATTGGGATTTCTGAGGATAAGAAGGGCAATAAATTAAATTACCTCTGATGACGAGAAAGTGTTTGTTATTAAAAAAACAAAAAGATACTTTTACAGTATGCTATATTTATGGGCTAAAGTGATCAATATTAGGGATAGGGAATGTATACAAATATAAAATAGGACATTGAGGTTAATACCCAGTGGCTTCAATGCTTAAACACAATCTTCAGTCTATGGCGTGAAGATTGCATTTAAACAGGCACCAACAACTCATATATATATATATATATATATATATATATATATATATACACAAAGAGAGAGACAGACAGAGAGAGAGATATATAGTTACGTGTTGGAAATTTTAACAAAGTAAAAAAAAAAATGATTTACCAAAACACAGAGCTAAATCACAAACAAATATTTAATTTACAAAAACATAACCTTATATTTGTATAAACCATCCGGAGTCACAAATGCTGAAATTTCTTTGGCATTGTCAGTTAATGGCACTTGCCAACAGCCTTCCATTAA